CTTGGGGATTATCTTTATTTTTGAATTTATTAATAAATAAAAAAAAGGGGATTCCCCCCCACCCTCCACATGCCACCACGCCAAACCAAGAACTGCCAACGTGCTGCCGCCGCCGCCACCGCTGCTGCTGCATCTTCCATCCCCGTTCAGGCCACGTCCTCCACCCCCTCTTCCCCCGAAATGGCCGCATCCTCCATCAACATGTCTGACATCCGCACCGACTCAGTCGATAGCATCGCCCGCCACCTCGCCGGCGAACAACCACCAGCAAACACTGCCACCCCCGACCTCTCTGCCATCCTCCACGCACTCAACACCTTCCAAACCTCCGTCACCGCCTCTCTCGACGACATAAAGGCCAATGTGTCATCTTTATGCGACCGCGTCACCACTCTCGAAGGGACCACCCCCCCCATCACGGTCGTCACCACCATGCAAACCATTCCAACCCCCACAGTGCAAACCACTCCAACCTCCACAGCCGCCTCTAGCAACACCCCCCCGCCGACCGCCTCCACTCTTACCACCTCTCCTGCCATATCCACCAACCCTTCAATCCCCACCATCGTTCCGTTCCCTCCACCTCCTCCCTCATCCGGCGCATCCAGCACACCGCCTCATTCCTTGCCCATCAAAGTCACCCCTTCCCCCCGCCCGCACTCCCAAACCCTCTCCCAACCCATCATGACCACCTCCACCATCCCCACCATCCGTCCCACCTATTCCCAAGTCACCTCCGGGGCTTTCCCCGCAATGCCACAACTTCCACCCAACTACCTCCTTGAGGACAACAACCAAATCGACCACACCTGCTACGACACCGCCCCCGATAACCTCAGCTTCAACATCCTCGCGCAAATCGTTCACCGCGACGGGGAAATCCCCCGTTCCTTCCGATCTGGCGAAATCATGTCCTTCTCCGGCCTCCCACACGAGGATGTTTTCCTCTTCCTAACCCAACTTCAGAACTCTTTTCAGCTCCACCACATGCCCCTTGCCCACTGACTCCCCATTGCCACCTCCCGCCTCCTCGGCAATGCAGCCAAATGGTGGATGGCTGAAGCTAGCAACCGACGAGCCTCCGGCGGACCACGCCACACCTTCCTCCAATGGGTCACCCTCCTCACTGCCACCTTCCGACCCCAGAAAACCATTGACGACTACCTTGAACAATTCTGCCACCTCCGCCAGACCGGTCCCACGGACCGCTTCGTCCAGTACGTCCGCTCCCTCCGACACCACCTCCCCCACACCGTCATTCCCGACTGTGCGTTCATCTCCCACATCAAACGAGTATGCCACAAAGACCTTGCAACCGCCCTCGCCCACGAACCCGACATGCCCCTTGCTGACCTCCTCTTTCGCATGCTCCACCACGGTCGACTCCTCCACCCCCACCACCAGGCCCCCCCCGGCACCTCCCGCACCCGCTTTTTCCACCACATCACCCCCGAAGACACCACCTCCATCACTTCCTCAGACGAGTTCACCACATCTGACCCCGACGCATCTCTCGATTCACTCGACTCTTCATCCCTCACTTCCGAGGAACTCGATGTCGTCCAGTTCATGAGAATGGAGCGCAGAGATCGCAGC